CATGAAGAATTTAATTTTAGTGAGGTTTTTGTGCATCAAATGATACACTCCATAGAGTTTGTTTTAGGAGCAGTCTCAAACACAGCATCCTACCTTCGTCTTTGGGCTTTAAGGTAAAGCAATATGTTCTCTCTGTAAAAAGTTTTGTATTTTCTTATTCAGGAATATTTCACTCAATCTTTGATATTTGACAGCTTGGCACACTCTGAACTATCAACTGTCTTCTATGAGAAAGTCCTACTACTTGCTTGGGGGTGAGTTTTTTCTCTTCATATTTCGTGGGGTTTGATTCCTGTGTCTTTTCAGGTTTTTGTCCTTCATTATTTGATTCTGTGGAAAAAGGGTCCACCACATGTAGGCGCTTAAAGAAAATAAAATAAAATCTCTAACATTCTAATATTGCAATTTTCATGACTAAGAAAAAATGTCCAGCTATTGCTATGCTAGGGCTCTAAATGTACCAAACTGATCCAAGTAGCTCAGTACTCTATAGTAATGAGCTCAAGTTGAGTTCGAGGGCTCCTGTTTTCTTGCACATTATCATTATCTTGTGTGTTCCATTAGAAATGACACCTCGTATGATAACTTTTACAGGTATGATAACATTGTCATTCGGTTACTGGGTCTAGCAGTTTTTGCCTTTGCAACTGCTTTTATATTACTCATGATGGAGACCCTCAGTGCTTTCCTCCATGCCTTACGTCTTCATTGGGTGGAATTTCAAAATAAGTTTTACAATGGTGATGGTTATAAGTTCAAACCTTTCTCCTTTGCCTCGATTGCTGATGATGATGATTAGTTAATTCTTTTATCCTGCATTTTATTTTTGGAAAATGATTGTGAAAATAGGAGGAAATTTTTCAACAAGAGGCTGCATGAAAGTGTAAATTGATAGGCACCACGTTTTGGCTGGCACATGCATCGTTATAGAACATGTTTGACATTACAGTGTCAATTTTTGTATGTGTTTATATAAAAAAGATTTCGCTGAAAGGATGGCCATTGAAGCGGGGTAGAAGTATTTTTTATCTTTCCCAACAGTGGTAGTGTCCTTTTCCAGTATTTCTGTTTGGTGGTTGGGAAGTATAGGGTTTTTCTTCTTTTTTTTTTTTTTTTTTTTTTGGGTAAAGCAGAAGAAAATCATCTATACGAGGTAGTGTTTTCTGTATTTCAGTTCTTTGGGGTTAGATTAAGAAATTTTATACGAATTTTGGAGGTAATTTAACCCTTTTGTCTAGTTTACTCTTATGCATGATGTAATGACTAATAACAATCTTACGAAGCACTATTTTATCATGGGGTTTTATTAAGATTTGCTCTAAGTTAATGGTGCAATTGATGCATATTTTTTATATTAAATTGTATTAAAAAAATGAATTTTATTTAATTAAAATAATTTACATGGCATTAATTGAGAAATTAAAGTTAATTTTTGTGTTTTTATGCAATTTAATGTAAAATGACGTAGGAATTTAATGAATACAATTTTTTATTCTAAATTTATGTTAAAATGACAAAAATTAATTTTTAATTTATTAATTATCTAATTAAATTTATATACATAGTAATAAACTAAAATAAATATTTACTGTTATATTTTTTTATATAAATTTATAACAAAAATAAATTTTAACATGTATTAAAGTATATATTAAAAAAAACCCTAAAGTTTTGTTTGAGAATCTAAATTTGTATTTAGAAAATGTATTTTACATACATATATTTAAAATACATATAATCATAAATACATGTATTTTTAAATTTATTATTTGAATTAATATAATAAAAGTGAATTTGAAATTCAAGTGATTGATTGAGGCATTTTTACAAACACTTACAAGGCAATCCTTTTGCACCTTCAATAACAAGCCCAAGCCAAATGTTACTAGTGTGGACCCCAATCCCCGTGCACATAGACAGGGGAAGGCCAAGAAACTCTTCACCCACTATCTCGAAATCGGCATCTCTGCTCTCCATTCTAATCTCCCTACCATTGATATTGTTGAACTCGTTGTACGTTAATCTCTTCGTATTTGTCTCTATTTCCATCGGCCCGGGGCCTTTTCTTCTCAAAAGACAAGTGCTTAATTCCTACTTTGTTTTCCTTAAAAATAACAAACGTGGTAGTTTTTGACCAAAAATGACGCAAAATACTTTCGCCTTTAAGAAGGTAGCAATTGTTTTATGGGGTTTGGTTATGCAAGTGGGAGAATTGGAAACGGATCCTTTGTTCAATTCCAGCCATGGATCTGCACTCACGACCAAAGGAACATTGGAGATGGAGGCAAGCATTATGGACGGGAACAAGAGAAGGTGCAGCGTCGTATCCAGTGTAACCACCGTGAAGAACCCCATCTCTCTTGCCCGTCTCGTGATGGAAAAATCTCCACATTCCTACCTGGTCTTCTCCGGCGAGGAAGAGTTTAGCCAAGAACAAGTTAAAATATATAAATCTAAATTTGAAATACATAAATTTGAAAATAAAGTTGAAAAAAGATTTGAAATACATAGATTTTAAACTAATGAAATACACAAATTTAATTATATGTATTTGAATTAAATTTAATTACATTTTTATTTGTGAAAACAAATTGTAGTATTGAATTTGAAATCATCAAATTCAAATACACTCTCAAAAAGTCACGTTCCTAAACATACCATTAAAGATTTGTAGAAGTCTAATATTGTTTCACATCCATAGTAAATGAGGAATAATAAAATGATACCCAATCACTCAGAGAAGTAGTCTGATTAGTAATTAAGGAGCTCTGCTTTTCAATTTCAATCTTATTGCCATCAAGATGCATGGAGGAGCCATTTGCGACACCAATCTTAGACCGAACTGAGAAATAGAACACCAGGCAGCGGCTCGGTGAACCCCTCAGCTGGCTGATCTTTGGAGAGATGTGAGCCACACGAACCAACTGTTTCACAACTATTGACAAAGAAAATGCAAATCTTTTTCGGCTACGTGTGGAAGTAAAGTAGTTTTGAATTTTCTTATTTATTAAATAATAAGTTATATAATAAAAAATAATTTTCATATTTTTAAAATTTAAATATAAAATTTTTAATATAAGATTTCTTAAAAAAAAAAAAAAAGAAGAAGAAGTTTTGATATATATTCAATGACGTGTTCAAATACTATTTAGGATCCTCCTCGACTAAAGAATTGCGATGACCATTTTTTTTTTTTATTGATCGGAAGAATTTTGATGATTTTTGGTAAAACTGAAAATGAAAATCCGAGGGCCACTATCTCATCAAGTATTTGTCCTCTGCACCCATGGTCCAGTAGTCACCCATTTGAGATAATGTGCTTAGATGTCTCATCTGAGTTCTAATCCCAATCTTACTTTTCCTTTTTTCGATCAATTTCCCAAGTTCAGAAAAAAAAGAAGTATCTGTCCTCTACCTATCAGAAAAAGGGGAAAAAGTATCTTCTATTCCCTTGAGGGCCCAATAGGTCTAAGATTTCGACCTTCTCAAAAGCCCAAACTTGCTGAGAAAAGTGGGGCCTGTCGGGTCTGTCCGTTTATTAGTTGCACACAATACAACATGGGGTTGATTGATTAATATCTTATTTATGGATGAATCCGGCTTAATTTTGTTTTATTTATGCATAAAAATCTTATTTGCCTATTATATTACGCATAATAAAATATTTTTTTATATGAGCATACATAACAAATTGATACATAACAATCTTTTTATAATAAAATTTTATTATAAATACTCATTAATATTAAATTAAATAAGCAAATGCATAACAATTCAAACAATTTCTTTGGCTTTATTATAACAATAAAGTTTTTTAATTTTTTTATTTTAAGTTACATAATAAAAAGTAATCATTTATATTAACTTTATCAGTTTTACCCACTCCCACTTGCATCTCTATGATTCAAGTTAAGATCTCTTATTCTATTAAAAGAAGAGTCACCATGAGCAATTTAGGTTATTGGCATTCTAACTACAAAGTTTTTTTTTTTTTTTTGTATATATTAGATTATGGATTATACAACAAATAATTTTTCCTCCCAAACCCCCTCCTCACCCATTGAAGATTCAAAGTAATTGAAAGACTTATAACTACAAAGAATTAATTGAGGTTTTGTGTATATCATTTTCTTCTTAGGCATATATAATCCAAAATGAGAAAAAGTTAATTCTTTTAAATGTTGCAAGTCAATATGAGGTGGACTTAGGCAAACTCTTAAATCAATTAGAGAGACATTAGTTTTTAGATGTATAGAAACTAATCTTTTAAGTAGGGCTGGGTTTTTTTTCCAAAATCAAGGACCAATCCCTGAAGCTTTGCCTTGCACCAACTATATAGGATCTCATCTGAGCCATCTCTAATAACCTGTATAAGTCACAAGAGAGGAGCAGGGCACCAAGCCTCCTCCCTGCCTACAGAATTCATCTACTTGAACAGGGCACACAAAATTCATACCGTACCATTTGCAAAGTTCCTTCCAAAAGGAGATAAATTTGTCACTAGATTAAAGCAGATGGTAGACATTCCCTTCCTGCAAGCCACA